ACGCGGGGCCCCGGGCGGCGGGAAGGGCCGCGCGGAGCCGCCGCCACCGCCCGCCCGCGCCGCCTCTTACCCGAATTTACCGCCAACGGCGCCGCCATCTTGGAGAGCAGTGAGGCGCCCGCCGGCGCCGCCGCCTGCGCAAGGGCCCCGGCTGCCCCAGCGCCGCCTCCCCGACCCCGATCCCGGCCCCGAGGCGGGATGCGGCGGCTCCCGCGGCGGCTCCCTCCGACCCGGGCCTGGGAGCGCCCTAAGGAGTCAGCGCCCCCGGCGCGGCCCGAACCGGCCGCGGGTCCTGCGGCCGCCGCGGCGCCGCCTGGGACTTGTAGTCGCCCTGAGGTAACGAGGGCGGCAGCGGCCTCGATCGAGACCTCCAAAAGGAAAAACGAAGTTAATCGTTTGTAGATGTTTTAACCACTCGAACAGCATTATTCATTAATAAAGTGCATAAATATTAATTAATAAAGTGCATTTAAAAAGTACTAAAGTGCATATTTTTTGATCAGCTGCACAGCTCCCACACTTGCTTCCTCTGTCCCTCCTCTGGGAGCTTCCTGGGGAGCGAGCACTTCCCGGCAGGTGTGCGGCATTCGGGAAAGTCCTGCGGGTTTTGGTCCTTGATGGTCCCGTAGGGTTACACCAAAAGTACATATTCCTAAAAGTGCCAATAGTTTCCCTCCTTGAACTATATCAAAACCATATTTTAGCAATTGCAAAAAAACATCCAAAGAATGGGAATTTCGGTGGGAATTTGGTAAAATAAATATCTTTACCCCATAAGCTCTTTAATGAAATGGCCAGAAGCCACAAGAGAGAGAGAGAGAGCAGAGGCCACGGAATGAGAGTGAACTTGCAAGACAGTTATAAGAGACCAAAAATAACCTGTTTGTAAGAGATCAAGACTAGTTGTAGGAGAAATAGCTCCACATTAGTCAGGAAAGAGAGAAGAGAAAGAAGAAAGAAGAAAAATAAAGTAGAGGAAGAATACAAGTCAAGAACATGCTCTCTTAGAGTTCAAAGAATCGATGAATCCTCAACAGTTCCTCCTAACATGTTCATTTAGTCAAAGGACTTCTATTTCCTAGAGATAACCCATTTCCCGGTTTTAGCACTTAGGCAGTACGGATGTAGTACAGTGAGGAGTTACAAGATGATATTGCCTGATTTTAACAAAGAAATGGTGCTCAGCATCAGGTGCAATTAGAAAACAAACAGTAGTGGTGAAAGCAGAAAACTAGTAGGTTTTTTCACAAGCTGCAGTATTTACACACCCTGCGTTCCTATAGGCTTGTATAAGGATCTCTGTATCTTCCTCTGTACCCCTCATCCCTGCACAGCCCCAAATCCCAAATTATGCTGCCCAAATGCTCCCAAATGAGAGAAAAAGTAAGCATGTACTACAGTAAATTCAGGCATATATGCTTATGGACTACCTCAAAGATAGCTTCAAGTTTTGCTTCAGCTGTTATACATTTCCTTATTTTCATGAAATTAGTGAGTACATACATTTTTGAAGCCCTTTAGCCTTTGATCAGATCAGATTGGAATTGGACATCATATACAGAAGTTATTGAAGGCAAAGAGGTGTAATATACTAAACTTGATTTCCTTAAGAAACAAGAGTGAAAGAAGAGAATTAAAATAATGAATCAATAAAAAGCAAACAAACAGAAAAGTCACACATACAAAAAAAACATAGGCATTAAGAGCTGTCATATTTCTTTTGGCATTCAGATGCATCCAGATTGCATGTGTGCTTTTTAAAAAAAATCTGTTGGATGAAAAATCCTTTCTAACCACTGCAGATTTAATATTTTAAAATTCCAGATACTTCTTTCTCATCCTAGCAAATTGACCAACAGTTACATAGCAACATCAAAAAAAAAAAAAAAAAAAAAAAAANAAAAAAAAAAAAAAAAAAAAAAAATCCAGTGAAAGAAGTGGATAGTATGGGGTAGATCATCGGGCAACTGAACTTCAGAAGAATAGATATCACATTTATCTCCATCTACATAACATTTTTATACCTTGTCTCTGTGTTGGCAATGTGATTTTCAAAAAAAAAAAAAAAAAAAAGAAAAGAAAAGAAGAGTTTGCTGCAAAACAGTTGTGGCAATAGGACTCCTAGTATGAACAAAATAAGAGGGGTATATAGATACACCCTAGCGTACATTGTAAGCCTATTTTTATTGATATAACTGCATTCTCAGTGCATTGCTGAGTAGGCAAGTTCATGGATCCTGTTTTATTCTTGCTTTATTTGCTGACCTTTAATTTGGGGTTTTGTTGTTTATCCAGGATAAGTGGCTGCTTTGGTAGACTGTTTTTGCTGAGAGGCTGTAGGAAAAGAACACTGCATTCTGCTGCCTAACTGTAGCTCTCAGCAAGTCCGCCAGTATTGCTGGGTTTGGGAAGGGATATTTGCCTCCTTCGTCCTTAATTAGAAAATTGGAATCTGTTAAGTATCAAAAGTAGACTGACACTAAAAACCTGGGGTGGATATTAATTCCTCTGAATGCCAGAGACAGGAGATCCCAGTCTGCCTGTAGGGTAGTGATTTCTGCTTGCACTGCCTGAGATTTTCATATAAGAGATGTTATTTTCTATAGATGGAAATAATTACTAGTATTAATTAAAATGAGCTGCACAATGAATACCTGGTCTTTGGCTGGGAATTCTAGGTGCTTTATGATACAATACAAATGTAGCATTATTATTTTTAATAACACTAAATGTAGTCACTGTGGTTTGTAGCCAAATCACACTTGAAGATACAGAGATAACAATGAACAATGTAATTTCTTTATGTTCTATTATGATTAGAATAAACAATTATTAGTAATAAAAAAGTGTATTACAGTAATGCCCAGGAGGCCATCTGTAATTTCCTACCTTTAATCTTGAGTGTCACTGTGATCATAGCCTGCCTGGTAGAGTAGAATGAAAATTAAAAGGCTTTCTTGCCTTGTAGCTGAAAAACATGCCTTGTAGGAGTGCTTCTACATAAGTACAGACCAGTCTTTATGTTGTGAAATATGCATCTTTACTCAAAAAATGGAAAGCATTTCTGGCTACTAATTAAAATAAAACTTCCTTGAGCTCTAATGATGACTGACACTGACACTGGGTCAGATTACTTGTCTTAAAAGTGGGGATACGATTTCACAGTAGGCCTGGAATGCTGATCGACTGGATCTTTAACCCGCAACCCTATTTGAACAGGAGGAAAATGAATGTAATTTTTAATTACACTAGCTTGGCAGAGTAAAAGCCCTGAATTCTGTCACTGTGCAGGCTAATTTCCCCCCAAACTACGTAACTGACTATAATCCTGTGTTTTTCGGAAAAAAAACCAGTATCTTATACATCACCATAGTTAGCTTGATGTCAAATCTTAGAACAATCAAAGTATAAGACCTTTCCCTGCAGTGATTCTTAAAAAATAAAATAAAATAAAATAAAATAAAATAAAATAAAATAAAATAAAATAAAATAAAATAAAACTTTGTAATTTCTCTGCCTTCCATCGTACATATTTCTACTGTCACCATGGTATCAAAGCTCATCAGAGAAACCCTATGAGGCTGTTGCTAGCTTGGATAAGCATTTTTTTCCTAGTTCAAGGCATCAAAGAGCTAAATGTTCTCCAGGTTGTGTGAAAACCTTCCTGAGGATCTGGCAACGGGCAGAGAGGCGGTGAACAACAGCAAGTGCTGTCCTCCTTCTCTCATTTGGGACAATTTCTGGCTATAGGTATTTGATCATAAAAGAATGTCTTGATAAATAGTACCAGTAATTTATTATATTATATAGTATATTACTTGGTATGTTATATACTATTGTTGGCTGCATGACGTATTGTGAACTATGTGGGTTTAATGCTATAATATTTAACTTTTCTTTCATTCTTARTTTGGGGTTCTTAGACCTGCCTTTTTTTTCCCCCTTGTGTCTCTATCAGACAGTTAAGATCAGATTTCACCTTCTCTTTTGTGGTAATTTCTTCATTCACTTTCTGAAGGGAATGGGGCAGCTACTACCCTGGGAGATAATCTGATTATTTTAATAATATAATACCAATATTAGAGAAGAGGTGGAAAAAAATGAAAAGGGAAAACAATGGAAAGACAATGTAGGAGCAAAGTGGAGATATTTGATATAGTAAGTAGCAGTGATGGCACATCAGCTACCTTATTAATTTTCATTCTATTCAGTGATTTCTTTGTCAAGTGTACAGATGGGTGATGCTTTTGCTAGATGCCAGTCCCACAAATACAGGCTGTGTTCTGAGAGTCACACGGAGCTCTTTCCAAAGCACATTATGCCAGTTGTATAGGCTGCAGTCTGTGTTATACACTTATCTTACACTTTGGGATTCTCGTCAGAGAATGATTGTGCTGGAATAGGTGTAAAACCAMCAAAGTACAATGGAGACACTTGGGCAACACTGAAGGAAGTGTGTAAGATTGCACAAGAATGTTTCCACTAGTAACGTAAAGCAGAGGATTTCTGTTTGCAATGATGATTCAGGAAATGTCTTGACCGGAACTAAATTTGGAAAAAAAGAAAAAGTTATGACTTTATATTAAACTTGAATTAATTTGATCTGGGAACCAGTGGGGCTCAGGAAAAGTGGCATCTCAAAATGCCATGTCTACCGCAATTCAAAATTACTTCACAAATTATACTACCATTCCATTAGTTATTTTCCCTGTCCTGTCACTTCTTTAGTTCTCTGGATACAAGATGATGAGCTCATGCATACCTAAAATGTGTGAAGAATCTAGCTTGGACACTTCTGACAAAATTTACTAAAGTACCTGGTGCTTTGAGAAGTGTATTTGAAGAAGAACCTAAATAGGCAGCATAAGGAAGGGGTTATTTTCTACTCAAATCCATTTTTGTTGTTTTAAAGTTTCCTATGGACCAGAAAGAATTATCCTCAGCAGCAAGAAGCTGGAGGACAAAAACTCAACAAGTTTAGTTCCTAGAATGGGCTGCTTTATTAATTAGACTCTGGAGTCAAAATATTTCACTGTAAGTCTTATGTCTGTTAAAGTCTCCTCCTGCTTTATTTAGCTACTGCTGTGCTGTGGCAAGATGAGAAGTAGWATTAGCTATTCACATGGAGCAATTTAATGGAGCAAT